AGGTGCGGCCTCACCAGTGCCGAGTACAGGGGCACAATCACTTCCCTACTGCTGCTGGCCACACTATTGCTGATACAGGCCAGGACGCTGTTGGCCTTCTTGGCCACCTGGGCACACTGCCGGCTCATGTTCAGCCGCTGTCAACCAGCACCCCCTAACTTCACTTTTCACTTTCGCTTTCTGAAGCGAATGCAGTTTGAGACTGAGACTTTGGCTCTTGTTTACATTGTAGGTAAGTTTATAGCACCCTACTGTGTAAAAGAGCTTTTGATATATGAATAGCATTCAGTCCTTGTCACAACCCTCTTCAGCTGCCTGTAGGTGAGAGGCAGGCTTGTAAAGGGCACCTCTGCCCAGTGAAATGCTGGGGGTTGGTTGGCCCGGGCAGAGACTGTGTTGTTTGGTGCATGTACGTCACGTGAATATCTCTGAACTACCTAGTCCTCATAGTCCTGTACACGGGAGGTGTGGAAATATCTCCAAACTTACCGGTCCCTGATGTCTCTGCTGGCTGGGGTTTGGGATGGGGCAGCTTGCCTGTCAGCGAAGTAACCTCCTCTTTCCCAGTGTGCTGAGACCCGACCTCCTCCTTCGGTCCTTGCTGTTTTGCAGGCTGACCTCTAGCAGTATTATGCCAGCTGGAATTGATTACCTGATCACGGGCTTGCAGAATTGCCAGGCCCTTGAAGAGCTCAAGTGAGTGTGGTGTTGTATTTGTTTGTGGTGTTGTATTTGCTGTATTGAGTGTATTGTATCCAGAGTCCGCCAGGTCTTTCTAGAAGCTTTAGTTAAATTGCAGCCTCGCTTCTGCCTGTACTGTGGACAGATGTTGTTTTCCTGATGGCTGGAGGACCTCAGATGGGGAAGAAAAAACAATTCCTTTTTATTTGCAATGAACAATGAGTGAGAGAGACAGAGATCAGTAGTCTGTGGCAGGGAATGTCCAGTGGAGAAATCAAGTGTTTCGGTAAGTATTTTTTTGCATGGATCTCGCTGGGAGGCAGTGTTTCCCGTGCAGCAGTCCCAGAGCCAGCATTTCACTCCTGGAGGATGATCTAGTGGCCTGCACACACATGGTTTTTCCAGGCACGTACATGTAAGGCACCCTTCTGTTACGAAGTGCCACCAGACCGTGTGTTGCTGTTGGGAGAGTTTTGCCATCTTGTGGTCATAGTGGCACCTTGCTCCATGAGCGGCTGGGTTCTCACTCCAGGGGTTTGGGATTCCTTTGGTATTTTATCAGGATCCAAACGCATCCAGTAGAATTCTATTAGAAAAAACACTGAAAACTATTCACAGGGACTAAAATACACTCCCACTTCTCTTCCACCCTTGTTCTGCTCTCCTCTGCTCTGAGAGCTCGCATGACTGCCTGTGGGTAGGTAGTTAGTTGTTCCTGTGCTATTTCATCTTTTAGCCTGGGCTACATGAGACTCGGCAGTGCTGCCATTCCTAAGCTTGTGCTGGCACTTTGCGAAATGCCGTCTCTGAAAAGGCTTATGTAAGTATGTGACTGCAGCTCAACCTCCAGCCTGGCTTGTGGTACTGAATAACAAGAGCTTAACGTCCATTTTCCTGGGGATGTTGTTTCCAGCTTGAACCATAACAGTATTGGTAATGATGGCTGCTCCAGACTCGCGGAAGCCTTGAGGAATATGCACTACTTGGAGGAAATCAAGTAAGTGTCTCCTTCCTTGCAGTCTCTCATCAGCAGAGGTGACTACTAGTGTCAACATTTGGAGGGGCCCAGATGTGCTTATAGACAATGCTGTAACAAAAGCAGGGACGTTGCGAAATGCTTATGTATGAGGTACCTCGGGCTGGAGGAAGTCAAAGCTTGATGTTCAGAAGAGGAGAATTTGATCTAACCCCACTCTGTGTCAGTCACGTAGAAAATGGATTAAACAGCCTCTGGATTTAAATCTTCTCTGGAATCCCTGGGATCCAGAACAGGGCCAGAGGCCTGTCCTGGGAAAGCCTTGGACCCTTCACTTTCTGATGTGAAAAGATCTGAATCTAGAGCCAACCCCAGGCTTGTTCTGCCTTCCCCGCGCCCTGCCCCCGCCAGATTCTGTCCATTCTCCACTGTAGCACTTTGGCAAATAATAACCAGCTGTTGCCCGTCTTGGTATTCTGGCTGAAGTAATTTCCCACCCATCAATAAGATCCAGTGATTTTGATTGCTCTTTGCAATTTTTTTAATGCCTCATTAACAGCTACTTGTCTTTCATGAGATAGTTGAGACAAGCAGCTCTTTGATTCTGCTGCTAAGGTCAGAGGTGTCATCCAGCAGATGGGAGACATTAAATAAGATCTCATACTTCGCCTGGTGCTTAGCATTTTCCTTTACGACCCAGCCTTTCTTCTCTTCTTTAAAGTTTAAGCCACAACAAGATTGGAGATCCAGGCCTGATAAATCTAGCTGCTGTCCTGCTGGAAATGCAAAACCTGAAGAGAATCGAGTAAGTCCCTTTGTTTTGTTTGCAGTGATTTCGGTTATGGCCACAGTTGGCGGGGAAGCCTGTGTGGGAAGCCCTGTGCCGCCTTCATTTATATGATGTTCCACTTTCCAGTGTTGTCAATGTCATTAAAGACCTGATATAAAATCTACCAAACCAGTAGAGGTTGTTCCCTCTCCTGCTCTCCCTACGTAGAGCTGGGACTGGCACTGACTTTTTCTGCCAGTGCGGAGACTCTCTGAGAGTGAAGGTTACGGCCATGTCCTCAGGCAGACACCCCCAGGGACTGCGGTGGGTGTTTGCCAGCCTTCGCTAGCTGTTTGAACGGGCTGATCCCTGCCTTGGTTGTGTCCTGGAAAGTAAATCTGCAAATTTGCAGGGGATCGTACAAGTCTCACATCCACATGGCACCTTTCCTCAGGCTACGTAGGGTTCCCAGTGTGGTGGCCCCCAGCGTAACTACGCTGCTTTCTTTTGCTAGTGGAAGTAGAGGTGAAATTGAGAATTTGTCAGAGCGAGGAGACAGCCTCTAGACAAGGCTTTCTGTCAGATACAGAGAATCAAACTGTCCCTCCTCCAAGGTAACAGAAATTAGAGCATCCAGGCTGTTTGTTAGGCTCAGCTCTGGGGTATGCCTTGTAATTTTTTGAAATTAAAAACCTGGAAATGACTCGAACAAGAAAAGGTAATTCCCAGTTCTGCCTAGGAGAGGGACAACTGCTCCTTCCCCCCAGTACCTGCAGGAGCAGAAGTGAGTCAGTACTTGACAAAAACACACCACAAATCCCCAAGGCCATTTTCCGGAGGCCTGTGTCTCTGGACACACCACTGCAGCCCCGTGTAACCCATCAGTGTAGTGATCCATGTCTCCCATCACCAGGCAAACAGTGAAATACCTTAAGCTGGTGCCTTCTGCTTCTTGTTCAGTCACTGAGAGTCTTTCATGCTTATTTTAGCCTTTCTGGGAACAGTCCTAGTCCTGCTGGAGGGGAGAAGCTGATGGAGGCTCTTGCCTATTGCACGCACATCGAGGAGTTACTGTAAGTGTGTAGTTTCCAGTGTCCTTTCAGGAAGCTGAAGTAAAGCCAAAGTAATTTTTACGACTGATTCTTATGAGTGCAGTGTCAAAACTCACAGCTACATGGGATAGGAATGTGTGGTGCTGGGTGTGGGAAGTTTGGGGGTTGCTTGTTCACTGCAGTCTTTTGGAGATTCCCAAGAACCGTACAGACTGCATCAGTGGGGAGGAGATCAATCTGCAGTTTAATAGCCAGTGTCACAGGCGTATGGGCTGAGCAGTGCCTGTGTTGCCTGAGAAATTGGCATTCATGTATATGGCTGCAAAAATCACAGAATCACAGAATCATTCAGGTTGTAAAAAACCTCTAAGATCATAAAGTCCAACCGTCAACCCAACACTCCCATGCCCACTAAACCATATCCCAAAGTGCCACGTCCACACGTTTTTTGAACACCTCCAGTGATGGTGACTCCACCACCTCCCTGGGCAGCCTGTGCCGATGCTTGACCACTCTCTCTGTAAAGAAATTTTTCCTAATATCCAGCCTAAACCTCCCCTGGTGCAAATCGAGGCCGTTTCATCTCGTCCTATCGCTGGTTACTTGGGAGAAGAGACCAACACCCACCTCACCACAGCCCCCTTTCAGGTAGTTGTAGAGAGCGATGAGGGCTCCCCTCAGCCTCCTCTTCTCCAGACTGAACAACCTCAGTTCCCTCAGCCGCTCCTCATCAGACTTGTGCTCCAGACCCCTCCCCAGCTCCGTTGCCCTTCTCTGGACACGCTCCAGCACCTCAACATCCTTCTTGTGGTGACGGGCCCACAACTGAGCAAAAATGGAGGGAAAATGACAGAGAGAGACTTTACTCAGCCAGATTTATTATCAGTCATTCCATTGCAGACCAGTTTATAGAACTAACGTGCCCCTGCTATATTAAAGAAATAAAATAATTCAAGAAATAACAGATCAGAAAAAAATTATTTCTGTTACAGTTAAAATGCTGGAGCTATTCATACAGCTTTCAGATTACAGCGTACTGGACCAAGGCCACATATTAAAAAGTGCAATTTTGGTCTTAATTCCAGCTCAAGACAACCTAGTCAGGGAAGGAGATCAGTGTGCTGCTTTGAAGTGCAAGTCAATTTTACTTCCCTGTTTCACTCCTGCTGCAGGATTACAAAACCTCGTCTTTTTTTCCTCCCACTCTCAGTGTCCTTTGAATCATGGACTTTAGCTCCTTTCAACATAGTCCCATGCACATGTGAGTGAGGAATGGGGGTCGCAGATACGTGTGGGTGACACACTAATGAGGCTCTGTAGTTCGCTGCCAGTAACATTTCATTTCTGCTCCTTCCAGACTGTCAAGGAATGTTTTTGGAGACAGGGCAGCAGTGAAACTTGCCCTCTGTCTGCCTCACATGACCAACCTCAAGATCCTGCAGTAAGTGTCAGCCTCTGCCCCAGGAAAGCTGCATATCCTGGAAATATGCGGGATGCCTGAAAGAAGGCATGGACTGCTGTGGTGCGCTGGGCTCTTGTTTAGATGTTATTTTAAGTGTCTCAGGATTGAGAAACCCTCCACAGTTAACTCTGCTTCATCAAGTCACATCAACTGTTCTTCCGTAATCTCTTGCGGCATTAAGTTTAGAGATGAACCAGGCTTTGTATATACAGTAAAATAACCCTTAAAATTGGTTTTGAGTATGTTAGCTTCTAACGCCTCTGGCTGTCCTCTCCTTCTGGTGCAATGTAATGTAAGCATAAACACAGAGCACCTTTTGTGGTTCCTCGCTGTTTTGTGCAGGCACCTCTGAGTCATTTTCCCCCTTGAACTCAGTGGTATTATATTTTTAAACCTCTTATGGGAGTCTTTCCAGGGCTCTAACACATAGGACTTTCTCATACTGTTCTACAGTAGCAAAGCAAGAAATTGGTGAGCCAGAAGAGCTCACTGGGCTCAATTAGCCTAGCGGCGTGTCCTCCAGCCTGTGTCTAAAGTATCGTCAAAAGATAGCTTAGAAGAGGAACTGCAGTGGTGGGAGACTTTAGTCCTCTGGGTAGGTTCTTGTCTTCACTGGAAGGGTGTTGGAAAATCTGCAGACATGAGATTGCCCATCTGCTCTTTGTTCTTAAGGCTGTTCCTCACTCACCTCCAACGGATCCCACGTGCACAGAGCTGGAGGCAGACTCCTGGCAGTACTGTGCAGCCTTTGCTTCTGCAGCGACTGGCTGACCGCTCCTTCGTTGCGAGTGGGGGCAAATCCACTGAACTTGCACGTCCTTCGGGCTAAATGTCGTTGACGTGTGACCTGCTAGCCACATTGCTGGCCCCCACTGTTGCCTCCCTCTTTTCCAGGCCCTTCCGTTAAGACTAATCAACAAGGAACGCAGGTTATCACCAGCACTGGGCACTGGTTCAAAAGATGCAGCAGTTACTTTCTTGGCAAGTTGAATATGAGCTTTTGTTACAGCTTTATTCTAAAATAATCTTTCAATGCTTATGTTTCTTTTGTTAGCTTGCAGAACAATAACATTGGGCCAGCAGGAGGGATGGAGCTGGCCAGAGCCCTGGTGGCGTGTGGGCTGCTAGAAGAGATAAGGTAGGCTGTGGCAGGTGCGCTTGGGCTGGTGCCAAACGTATGGACTGGTGTCACTCCGTGGATGGGAATCATCTCAGCCCGCAGGCCTGAGGCTGTCACGTAGGCTCTTTCCGTGCTCAGGGTGACTCTGCAGAGGGCAATCCCTCCACCCGTGGTAGGCACTTTTTGCAGGATGAGAGGAGACACTCTCTGAAGGTCATTGCAGTGCGCTGCCTGCGGGGCAGCTTAGATCACTTTGGGCCTTGTCTGCCAGTGCTGTTTGCCAGGCTTTGTGTAGCCACATGCCTCTGAACTGCTGTATGCAGTAGCCTGAGGAGTGATAGAATTTTTAAATACGGAATTGAAAGAATGGAGGTGATGTGAATTAGCTCTTCCTCCTGCATCCTTGATGCCAGCGTTCTTTGTTGGGTGTTTATTATTAAATAACAAGTTGAATTGGGGTGTTGGTAATTTAGGTGTGAGGTATGTTAGAGCAGGGGAGGTATTGCCATGGCTTGTGTTTGCTGGTAGACGAGAACAGAGCAGCACACCCTGGTAAAGGCTGGAAGGCAGTTACTGCTTCCCCCTGAGTCTTTGGGAGCAACGTCGTCTTCCCACTCTCCCTTGCCATCATGTCCTCTCAAGTTACACCAGTCATTAACTCCAGTATAATTTACTATTATCCAGTTTCAAGTGCTGCAGGTCTGTCCATCTTTGCCACCGGTATAACCCCACGTTGCTCTCTGCAAGCAATTCACTGCTGGACAGACTTAACACTGTGAGTTAGAGCAGGGCTGTCATTCCCATTTTACCAAGCAGGGAATTGATCCTGAGTTGCCATGTGCCAATCTGGCTTGTCCCTGCTGTCTGGAGTCCTCACTTAGTCTGGGTGCTAGTTACTGACTTGCTAATTCATAGTTATGTTTTGGTGATGGCTTTTCTTTGACTGTACCTGCTTTTTCTGTGGCTACTCAAAGCTTTTTCATTACTCTTACAGTTTATCAGAAAATGACCTCGAGGAAGGAAGTATCCGTGCCCTGTCTGAGGGGCTGCCGTGTTTTCAACACCTCCAGAAGATTGAGTGAGTACCAGGGCACTGAAGGCTGCCGGGGCAGAGGGTGGCTGCCTTTGTAGCATTGCCAGGGCAGGAGCGCAGCAGACGGTGCCGATACCAGTGCCATATTCCCCACCAGTCCTGACACCAGCACATTGTGCCCTCTGTTTTTTCTCTCCCTGCTGCTTCAGCCTGAAACTCTGTGGAATCACTGACGATGCTTCAAAATCACTTTCTCATGGCTTCCAACAATGCCCTTCCATGGAGGAGATAATGTGAGTGTGGGAATGGATGGGGAGATGCTTCAACGCATAGTTCATTCTTGTTTTAATGTCTGCTCCTATTTTCAGCTGCAGTACATTTCTGTACTTATTGATACTTACCCCTAAGTACTTTTTAATGATAAATTTACTAGTAATTTACTAACTGACTAAATTCAGTGCTAAAAATTTGCTGGTATAACTAGCAACTTATTGGAAGCTGAATGTGGAGAGCTGAACAGAATATGGAGGAAAACACTCATCTTCGAACTCTGCCCATTCTCCTTGGTCTTTTCGCATCAGCTTTGTGAGGCAGGATGGATTCCCCACCTTGTTCTCTACGGTCCAAGTCTTGCCTCCATTTTTTTTACACTGTGGCCACAGCTGGCTCTCAGAGCAGAGCTGGAGCTTCTCTGTGCAGTTGTAGAGTCTGAATTGAGAGCTCAAAACAAAGTGAATTCATCCTGTAGATGAACAGAGTGTACCACCAGCTGCAATCTCGCTCTCCACACTGGAATAAAAGGGGTTGCTCTGATGCCTGGATGTTTAACATGTTTTCAATAAACAGCATAGATGGTCTGACTGCATTCTGACATGTTCACCTGCCCAAGAGAACCTGAGCGAGGAGCCTGATGGGAACCTGCTCCAGCTTACGCCCTTTTAAAAACAATTTGCCCCATTGCACTAGAGGGACCTTAAATTTAATTCTGGCACACAGGATCTGATGGGGTCAGCAGCAGTCTCATCAATCCTGAGCTACTTGTAGCTTTAATGAAGACTTAACACTGCCTGAGGTGCTGGCAGGGTACAGACCTCCTAGGCTGAGATCACTCCTTTATCAGGATATAGATGTGCGTCACTTAGGCTCTCTAGTCATCTCTGCGGTGGCCAGCTGGGTGACACTTGATTGTCACGCTACTCTTATGTGCCTCAGTTCTGCAGAGTCCTTGAGGATGGTTTTAGTAAAAGGGTGTTATGATGGTCATGAGCCCACCAGACTTTCCTTCTCACAGGTATTTGTGTGGAGATAACAGGTATCTTAGGTCTCAGGGCAGTAGGTCAAAGCCAGGATTTTATTGCTAGACCTGAGAGAGGTCTGGCAATAATCCAGTGGAGTAATGGGATGAGTAAAGCAATGTTCAGTGTACAGGCGTGTTGCTTGCAGCATGGCACTAAGACTAGGTAACCATGTGGTTAGTTACTGGTCCTGCATTACTAACAGATAGGCAAATTCTCCTTAAATAGTAGTGTTAGGAGCCTGGCTAGCTCAGTCGGTAGAGCATGAGACTCTTAATCTTGCCACGTTGGGCGCCAAAAAGGACTGTCATGGTTTAGCCCCAGCCAGCAACTAAGCACCACGCAGCCACTCGCTCACTCCCCGCTCCCCCAGTGGGATGAGGGAGAGAATTGGGAAAAAACCCTCGTGGGTTGAGATAAAAACAGTTTAATAGGACAGCAAGAGAGAAGGAAACAACAATGATAACAACGATAATAATACTGACAAAGCAATGTACAAGAACAAGTGATGCCCAGTACAGCAATTGCTCACCACCCGGCGATCGATAGCTCATCCCCGAGTAGCGATTCCCGCCCCACGGCTAACTCCAGTTTAGGTACTGGGCATGACCTCGTATGGTAGGGAATCTCTCTTTGGCCAGCCTGGGTCACTGTCCTGGCTGTGTCCCCCGCCAGCTTCCCGTGCACCCCCAGCCTTCTCGCTGGCAGCCCAGCACGAGAAGCCGGACTGTCCTTGACTGCTCAGCAACAACTCAAAACATCAGCACCTTATCAACATTTTCTCATCCCAAATCCAAAACACAGCCTCACGCTAGCTTCTGTGAAGAAAACCAGCTCTATCCTGGCTGAAACCAAGACAGGTCTTGCTGTGTCAGTGGAAGCCCACGTGAGTTCTGTCATTGGGAAATCTGGGTGACATGGTGAGCAATACGCTGATAGCCATGAAATCCCAGAACAGGCCATGGACATGAACTTGTTTGGTGGAAGGCCCCAATTCTTGAACTGGATCCTGTCCTGCCTTTCTTTTTTTGGCACCTACGTGCTATGCAGAAATTCTGGAGTTCCCCAACTTGGGTAGAGGAATGGCTCTGTGGAGTGGCCCCAGGATCATTCAGCTGAGCGAAGCACTGGCTGGTGCCATGCCAGGTTTCTCTTTTCCAGGTGAGAAGGAAATGGCCAGGCTGTTCAGCCAGTAGCGAAGAAAGGATCTGAAGAATTTTCTCACTTGCTAACGCATGAAAAAGTGAAAAACCTAGCCTTTCAAGAGCCCTTCGAGCTATCTTTTGAAAGAGCTCAGAGTCAAAAGGTGGCTTTAAGACTTAGCTGCTGCAATAGTTTAACACCATCAGCACCAAGGAGGGGTTGCCCTGGGGTAAAGCTGTGTGCTGAGCAGTCATTTCTATCTTTCACGTCTCATTCCCTGGGCCTGCAGGACTCTGGACATAACCACAGTCTGCAGGCTCTGTGGTGACACTCCCTGGTGTCTTACCATACATGGAAATGTGGTGAAATTGAGGAAACTCCTCAAAATTAAACTTGTAAAGCAGGGTAACGTTTACTTGCCACGATAAGAGAGGGATAAGCCCTTGTAAATAGGCTAATCTATGAGGGGGTAGTATCACAGCACTGCTGTTGTTCCCCTTGCATTTATCGACTGACTCACAGTTGAGATTTCCTGTCTCTCTTAGACTATCTTGGAACACTCTTGGAGATGGAGGAGCCCGAGAGTTGGCCAGTGCTCTCCCAAGGATGGAAAAGCTGAAGGTGTTAGAGTGAGTACAGCCCTGAGAGCAACCCCAGGAAGACTTGTTTTTCTGTCACTGAGCCTTCAATCACAGCACTCTTGAAAAGGGGACGTACATTAGGAACAACAGACAGACAGGTTTCCGCAGTTTAACTTCTTGCGTAACCTTGCTGCATGCACCAGCGGGCCAGCCTTGCTTGGGTGATACACAGGCACTGAAGTAGCACTTGTTTTATTCAAGGTGTTTGCAGTGTAGGTATCTAAGCAGAAGCTAGTCTTTGAAGGCCTCCTGTTTGAGTCAGGGAAGACAAACTGGTATTTCTAGAACATGACTCACATCACCTAATGACCTCAGGTGAGCTGCTTCCTGCAAGCTTTTACTTCTCTTCAGTGTCTGGGATGGTCTAGATGGGTACCGTGCTCAGAGAGCCTTCCTTTGTGAAAGCCTGCAGCAAGGCAGGAAATCCATCCCCAGGATGGAGCAGCCAAATTGTGGGCGTTAGGTCATAGGAGCTCACAGGAAGCTCAGATGCAGCTCCTGTGCTGGAACTGCAGTGCAACCAGCAGCTGGGGTTGATGTCGCCAGCTTAAGCGCTGGCATGGTGGCATCACAGCCCAGCCCTAATCCATGGAAGAGACTGTCATATTCTGCTCAAGAACTGCTCATGGAGCTTTCCTCCCCTTGGGTCTTTGGAATACCTGGTATGTGTCTTCCATCTCTCAGCAGTATGAAAATATTAGTCTAGGGGTCATGGGG